ATAATAATAATAATAATAATAATAATAATAATAATAATAATAATATCTGAGAACAAGAGAAACATAAACAAGCTATATTTTTACTTCTGAAAATATTATTTCTGTTGCAGTAATAAAAGTTACGACAAATTTGTAACAAAATATTATTGTTTTGTTAATTTTTTGCTCTTTTTGAAGTACGCAAAAGCTTTTGTAGGCAAATAATCGGAATCGCGCATGGATGATGGCATAAAGTGTGTGCAAATATCAGAAGCAATCCTTGCTCAGGGAATCAACGATATCACAAGGTGAGTACTGTAATATCTTTAAGTCTGATATCTTGATTTGGCTACAGTTGTCTTGATATGATTTATACAATTTAGCTTCACTAATTACTATTATCAACTTTTTTTTTTCATCTAAATGACAATCTTGCTTTCATATGCAGAACTGTACATATTTAATATGCAGAAATGGAAATGAATACTGAAATTTGAATTATCCTTCGAAAAATAATTTTTGATTTTGAACTTCGGCTGAAATTATTCTATTTAGGTTTTACATATTGTTTGAGAAAAGAAACTGTAAACATGTTTGTGATATTGTTTTTACAGTCAATTTGAAAAAATATTATCAACAGTGATATTATTTTGCTGCAATTTGCATAATCTAATCCGGAAATAAGAATGAGCGAGTAAATTTTGAATAATATAGCAGTGATGACAGCTGATACAATAAATATCAGATAGAATATACTTTTCAGATCAAATGTGTAAATAAATGTTGTTTAAAAAAGAGCAGAAAATGAGTAAAGCAAACTGTGGATGAAATGAGAGACGAAAATAGAATTAGCTTAATTTGGTGGAAGAGTGGATGATTGCATGCATAGTTACTTTAAGTGTTGACTACGTTTGTACTATATTACTTAAAATGCGAAATTAAATTTCATATTCTTTTGTTATAAAATTTTTCGTTATTTTTCAAAACAAAGCTAATTTTGAATAAATGCTTAAAGACAGAAATAACGTTTTGGTTTATTTATATTAGCAATTTTATCTTTTTCAAAAGCATTCTATCAAATTATAAATTGACTAATAATCGTTTTAATCATAAAACTCGATAAAATTGCAGTTATTATTTATTTCAAAAAATTGAGTTTAATTTTATCAAAAGGATTCAAGTGAACACTATCAGACAGCCAGTCCTTTGAGCCTTAATCATCAATTCTTGATAATAGCACTGATTATCCATCAGCAATAGCTTTCTTATCATTATTTAACATAGTTATCACTGTTTATTATCAATAATCATCATTATCATCAGTATAAATTATTATTGACGTCATGATCACTATAAAAGAGAGTAATTTAATTTTGTTGCCATCCGTGACAAATTACTTTTTGCCTAAAGCAAATCACAAATACTTTTCGGCCTAAAATAATTATTTAGAGCAAATTTAATATATTAAACTGAAATATAAAATAGTATTGTTTTATTCTACAAATCATAATTTGAAATAGCAAAGCTCTTGATGAAAAAATGTTCCCATTTTCAAAATGATTTTTTAAATAAAACTAAAGTCAATATAAATCTTCATTATACTTCCAATAATTTAATTCTTTTTCTCAAATAAATATGCAAAATCAAATATGTGATCTACCGAAGTAATAAATATCTAAAATATTTAATTAATTAATTGATCAATGTAAAAAGTACTAGAGAGCAAATGATGTTATATCTATAAATTGAAACAAAAGATCACAACGTTTGCACTAATTTATTCCAGTTCATAGCAAAGTATTCATATTGAAGTAATGAGTCTTTGGCGTACATATAGCACACTGTAAGAAATTTATTATCTTCGATACTTTGTATTTGAATTTAAAATTTAAATTATAATACTGACAGCCAGCATTCCGAGCAAAATCTCTGATCAAAGTAGTGCGAACTGAACAAAATCAAATGTGAATATTGGAATATTGGCTCTGAAACAAATATTTACTACTATTTTTCACATTATTCATAAACAGTACTCTCAGTGTATAATGGTAATGGTAATGATGATACTAATAGTAATGGTAGTGGTAATGATAATAGTAATGATAATAGTAATGATAATAGTAATGATAATGCTAATGCTAATGCCAGTGATAATGATTATGGTAATGAAAGCAAAAATAATTATATGAAATAGAATTATGCGTTTTGAATTTGTTTGAAACGATTAATTGTTCTCAGTAATTTGACAGCTAAGTGCACAATTACTGAACATTACTTTGTACTAATTTGCATACAATTATTACTCTAATAGAAAGGCTGAATTTCAAAAAAGTCACATGCAAAACAAGTAGATTTGTTCACATAGAGCTCATAAAGCATAACTATTGGTGCATTATGTGGAGGGCATCAAGAATGATAAAGTTAATTTACTGCTGCAATGTAGAATGTTTTGAACTGAAGGTATGATAAATTACAATAATGATAATCTTATTACATCGATAGATAGATAGATAGATAGATAGATAGATAGATGGATAGATCATCAATAATTATAGCTCAATTTTTATTTTATTTTCCGAGTCCATAAACAATAACTTTCAATACGTACATACGTTTGTAACTGTAGTCAAACTCATCATTTATAGCTATTTTTAAAATTCACGTAATTTAAGCATAATCTCGTAAAACTCGTAAAATGGACATTATGAATTAATTCAAATACAATAATTTAATACATTCAAAACTTACACACAAAAGAAATAATTAATAAAGTAAACATTAGTATGAATTATGCAATAAAATTGTGCCGGCACAGCACATGTAAATTAAATATTAGGGATCGAAAATGAAATGAATTAAAATAATGGTTGATTATATTGGAAAATTTAAGAATAACAGCATATTCAATTATTTTGGTATTACTGTAGATGGCTAACGATTCAAATGGCATTTACGTTAGTTTACGGTCTTCTGATGCTTACGGGAATTACCGGTAATGGCAGTGTGCTGATTGCCTTCACGACGAGTTCGCGACTTCGCTCGGCTCGATATATTTTTTTGCTCAATTTAATTCTCACCGATTTGCTGCTTTGTGCAACTGCAATTCCTGTAACACCTTGGTATGCTCTCAAGAAAAATTGGAATTTCGGAGCTCTGATGTGCCGTCTGATGCCCCTATCCAATTCCTGTTCAGTATTCGTTACCAGGTTTATTTTTTATCATCAATTAATTATTCTATTAAAGCTATACTTTATTTATCAAAAAATTATTTTAGCTGGAGTTTAACAGCTATAGCAATTGATAAATTTGTACATATTATGAATCCAACTACACCTCCGGTATCTATCAGGCAAGCAACCTTGGTAACTACTTTTATATGGGTGATTAGTACTATAATAAATATACCATATTTGATGAGTTATGATCTTGTTGATGGAGCTTACTATGCAGCGAATAATACCACACCATTCTGTGGTCAGTTTTGTGATGAGATCAACTGGAATGGTGAAACACCAAGAAGGTTATATGGATCAGCGGTAGTTTTACTACAAGTAATTTTTGGATATGTACCAATATGATAGTGATTAAAGCTTTGATGAGTATATAAAATTAATTTCGTAAACAATATTGCTTCTAAATATAATTAAAGTTAAGGGATAATTTTCAATTTCATGATGCAAAATAATAACAGTATCTCAAAACTAGCAGATACTCAAATCGTAATCTCTACAAAATAATTAATAACATTCCAAAGTCATTATTTAATTAATTTTTAATAACTAAATAAATATTTGCTTTCAGTTTGTTGTTCCATTAGCCATCATTACTTACTGTTATGCAAAAATACTAGAAAAAGTTTCCAATGATATGATCATTCAAAATGCTCAATTTAGCAAAAGCTTATCAAAAACTCAACGACAAGAAGCAATTAAGCGGAAGAAACGTGTAATTAATAATGTTTTTGTTTAATTTAATATTTAAACATTTTTAATATTTAAAAATGTTGCTTAATCTTTTTTGATGAAGAAAAAATCATTAGCAACGTTTTATTAACTCCAAAATTTTTTTTGCTGATTGTATAA